ACATCTGTGTTCTCTTAGGGTCTGCATGATATCTGTCCAGGCCCTTCTGGCTTTCATAATTTCTGTTGAAAAGTCAGGTGTGATTCTAATGGGTTTGCCGTTATATGTTATTTGGCCTTTTTCCCTTGCAGCTTTTAGTATTTTTTTCTTTGTTCTGTATACTTACTGTTTTGATTATTATGTGGCGGGAGGATTTTCTTTTCTGGTCAAATTTGTTGGGTGTTCTGTAGGCCTCATGTATCCTTATTGGCTTCTCCTTTAACTTGGGGAAATTTTCTTCAATGATTTTGTTGAAAATATTTTCTGGGCCTTGGAGAAGGGAGTCTTCTTTTTCCTCTATTCCTATTATTCTTAGATTTTGTCTTTTCATATTGTCTTGGATTTCTTGGACAGTCTGTGTCAGGAATTTTTTGGATTTAACATTTTCTTTGACAGATACGTCGATTTCTTCCATTGTATCTTCTACACCTGAGATTCTTTCTTCCATTTCTTGTATTCTGTTGGTTATGCTTACCTCTGTAGTTCCTGTTTTCGTCCCTAAATTCTTCCTCTCCATTATTTCCTCCATTTGTGTTTTCTTTAATTTTTCTAGTTCTATCTTCAGGTCTTGAGTTGTCTTGTTTACTTCCTTCACCTGTCTGCTTGTATTTTCCTGTTTTTCTTTTAGTTCCTTCAACTCTGTCTCTTTTATTTCTTTCAGTGATTTAATTATTTCTTCTCTGAAGGCCACAAGCTGTTTGGCTGCATCTTCCCGTATTTCTTCACGGATGGCCCTAATCTGCTTGTCTTTATCTTCCTCCATTTCTTTACGGATAGCCATGATCTGTTTGGTTTTATCTTCCTCTAATTCTTTACGTATTTTATTTGTTTCCTCTATTATCCTCTTCATCAACATAGATGTCAGGTCATCTTCTTGATTTTTTATTATGCTGCATTGTTCAGGGCTGTTTGCCTCTGGATGGCTGGGTTCTGGAGATGCCATATTGCTCTGTCTTTTGTTGGTTGAGCCTTTACGCTGACCTCTACCCATTGGGTTGATTTAGGTGTTGGCTGTTAGTTTCTGTGCTTCCTGGAGTCCTGAGGTAGGGAGAATCCCCTTGGCCAGAAGATGATTTTTCCTGAAGGAGTCCTTCTCTGCTTTTTGGTTATGGTCACTGTATGGCCAGTGTTTCTCAGGAGTTGCCACTGCTCACCTCAGGTTTATAGCCCTGAGTAGTAGCTGTGGTCTATGTTAGGCAGGGGGGGATCTCTTCTTACCCATAGAATTTCTCAAGACAGCTGCCCCACTGCTGGGTTTCTTGTTATAAATTTAGTGTGCTGCTGCTCACTAAATTTCCATGTACAGTCCTCTTGAAGAAACTGCTGATTCCCTAGCTGTGGGGTTTTCTCCCAACAGGGAACCTCAGTCTGTTATCCTGGGGCGCACAGTTCTGTCCGGGAAAATGGGAGGTGCACTCAGTAAGTCTCTGGGCCAGAGGCTGATTGCTCCACTCTGGACCTGGAGAATGTGCACCTAGGTTGAGTTGGTGCCTGGGGGCACTGTTCTGGTCTGGAGGCTGGGTGCCTCACTCTGGACCAGAAGCTGTGTGTCCCTGTCTGGGATGGCGGCTGCAGGCACTGCTCTGGTCCAGACGCTGTGGGTGCAGCCCTCTTGAAGGACCAGGGATTCCCACAGTTTTGACAGTCTAGCTAGGAATAACTGGTTGATCCTTGGCACAGTATCTGAGGGCTGCTGTAATGGCTCTCTGGCTTTTGTAGGTCTGAGGATGCAGCTGTGTGTCCCAGTGCCCTAGGGGAACTCAATAATGGAGGCAGAGCACAGCGCTCCTGCCTGCACTAGAGTCTGCGTGAGTCCAGGAAGTGTTTTGGTGCTGGGTGTCCTAAGCGTTAGACCTGCTGACCCCCTCTGCTGGGGGTTTCCTCCTCCCAGAGACATGCAGTCTGGTGCCCTGGTGCCCTGGTACCCACAGTTCTATCTGAGGCGGCGAATCAGGCGCGCAGGCAGGGTTCTGTGCAGGCGCCTGTGTCATGGCTCTGGGTCCGGACTGGCTCTTGGGGCACCCGTGGAACCTGAGTCTTTTCTCGGGATGTCTGGGTAACCTGAGGTCGGTCCCAATTGTTTCCTGTTCCGTGTGGTTATCTCTCGACTGGGAAATCCAGTCTATGGTGTTGTGGGCCCACAGTTCAGTCTGGGACTGTGACCAGATTGCGCTGGCGGGTAGCTCTGGGCTGGTGACCAAGCGCCTGGCAGAACGGGGATCTCTTCCGCGGTTTAGCCAGGTGAGTTAAAGCTGATTGAATCCCCCACCGTGAGGTATCCTTTCACCTGTGAAACACAATCACTTGTGTTTTATGGCCGCGAGTTCTGATTGCTGGTCACTGTGCCAATCCTGCTGTGCTGCTCCTCAGAATGAGAGTCCTCCCGGTGCCGCCATCTTGCCCCCGACCCAGGATTGAACAGTTTTAATCATTTCTTCACCTGTTTTTTTATATTTCTCTGGGATTCTTTAAGGGATGTATTAATTTCCTCTTTAATGTTCTCTATCATCTCTGAAACGTTGGCTGTAAGGTTATTTTCTTGTGCTTCAGCTGTGGGATATCCAGAGCTGACTGTAATAGAATAGCTGGGCCCTGGTAGTATTACATTGCCCTGGCTGTTGTTGATTCCTGTGTTCTTATGCTGGCCTGTAGGCATCTGGGATTTTAGTAATTATAAATATAAGTATGGATTTCTAGGTTTATATTTGTTGGTTGAAGGATCTTCATTTGATATTTTTCCCCTTGATTTCTATTTCCTCTCCTTTGGACTAAGCATATTGTGGTTCTGGTGACCAGCAATTATTCAGGTCCAGCAGGATGTCTGCTGGGGTAGTGGCTGTCTGTGTTACTTCTGGGATTTGGGGCATTGGTGTTGCCTCTGGAGTACTGGGGTTCCGGATACTGGCATGGGCTCTGAGGTTCTAGATACTGCCATTGCCTGTGGGGTTCTGAATAATGACATGGTCTTTGGGGTTCCAGGTTCCCACATGGCCCCTGGGGTTCCTAGCGCTGGCATGGCCTCCAATGGGGCAAGGAACTTCTGCTGTACTTGTGTGCTACGATCTCATTAGCTAGCTAGCTAAAGGAAAGATTATAATAGCAACTATTAGTAATAAAACTTCATCTACAGAGAATTCACTATATACTGAACATCATTTTATGATACATTCTAAACAAACAATTTCTTAGATATATTCTCAGAAATGGCAAAATAAATAAATAAAAAGGTTTTCACACATATCCTCATTTAATCCTCAAAATCTTCTTGTGAGTTCAGGACTGTTGTTATGCTCGTGTTTTGTAGAAAAGAACCATTAAGTTGATTCCTTAATTCTTGGGCTAGATGGTAAGTGGAAGTATGATTCATCACTGTGATTGATTATAATCACACTTCTTAATAACAATTTAAATTTCAAAACCCAAATGAAGCAATTATGCACCAGTTCCTTTCAAATTATGTGTCTTCAAGTTCGATGCCATTTTATTATCACTATTAAGTTTTCCTGAATGATTGCACGTATTATCTTCAGTTGTAGAGGGCCGCTGGTAAAAGCGTAAGAGAACATTACTAAGTTTAGAGTTATAAAAGAGAAAAATGTAAGGGGCCTAGACCATCTGTATACATATTATTTTACACCTTGAAAAAATTAGTGATAGCTAACATGTTCTAAGAAGCTGCCCTAGCTCAAGCGATGGAGTAAGATTTCCCCGCAGTAGCTCAGCTGTGACCTCCATGTAGGACTAGTGGCTGATTGACCCCTGGTTGTGACCTCAGTGCAAGAGCAGAAGCTGTTTGCCCATGGTTGTACCTTCAGAAAGCACTGTGATTGCTTTCTCTCTTTACATAGATCATTGTGGTGATTTATTTACAGTACAAGTAATGAAATCTCCATCTATAGAGTTACAGTGATGGCTTTGTGTGATAAAATTTTTTAAAAAAGTTACGTCAGAGAGCAACAGTAAAACTTTTAAAAACTAGAAAATTTTTCCATCTTGATTTTTATATTGAAATTGATTTCAAAAAATGTATGATTCTGAAATTCCTCCACAAAACATGATAAATCAAAAAGAACAGCTATTCTCTACTGTGTTAGAACAGAAAAGTGCTCAGGTAAATTAGGCATCAATAAAGCACAGACAAAACTAAACATTTTTCTGAGCATAGGCACAATTAACCTGTGAAGATATTGTGGTGTTCTGAAGCTTCCTGGATAGTGAACGATGAGCACATAAGGTTGTTTTGAAGTGTTGACTTTCCTTTTTGTAAAATAGAAGTTTTAAATTAGATGTTAAATTTCTTATAGTATCTCTGATATATTACTTTTTGTGTCTTAGAGAAATTTATGGAGGCTTCTTACTATGAACACGTAGGTAGCACCATGTATACTCAGTGGGTTCAAAATAAGGGAGAGAGAGAGAGAGACATGAAGTTGAGATTTAAAAATGGTGGGGAGATAAGAGAGGCTTTGAGGAGGAGGGAATGGGCAATTAATTTCAGCGGAACTCATACATGAAGTGTATGATGTTTTCAATAAAATGTGTACAATATTCAGAAGTATTGCAAACATTTTGGAAATCTCTGTTCATACTTATACACTTGTATTTATGCTTTTATTCTCATGTAATTTGTATTTTCCCTTATTCTGTAGATCACTTTCACATTTACAACATGCTGGTGTTCAGTTAAAATAGCATATGATTAGTTTGTGAACACACATTACACAGTAATCCCTACGATGAGAGAGGGTCTATCATTTTAACAACAGAGTATTTAAAAATTGAAAGATCTATGAAAAAGTGCTATATGCAAAATCACACTATAAAGATCTTGGATTAGAGGTTGTTTTGTTTTGTTTTTTTGTTTGTTTGTTTGTTTGTTTTTGACTGTTCATTCAATAGACCAGTAGGGGTGTTGACCTAATTATATGATTTGCTTCTTTTTTGCTCTTCCATTTTTATAGATCTGGATAACGTAGAGGGCATTGCAGTGGACTGGATTGGAAATAACCTTTACTGGACTAATGATGGTCACAGAAAAACCATTAATGTGGCCAGGCTGGAAAAGGCTTCTCAGAGCCGGAAAACTCTCCTGGAGGGAGAAATGTCACATCCAAGAGCAATTGTGGTAGATCCTGCCAATGGGTATGTAAACCTGTTACTGATGTTTTCTGTTTTATACATAATAAGAATGGCAGACTTTCTTTAGATTCGTATGAGTTGGTGAATTTCCACAGGAACAGACAGATTGAAAGAAATTACTTAGTCAATGACCTCACCTCCTAGGAAGAATATTAGGGTTTTTTTTTTTAAAGCAAAATATGTTGAACTAAATAAAATAAACAATTATTTGTATACTTATTTAGAGGAAATGTTACTTAAATATTATCAGATAAGCACTATTAAGACAACCTGACATCAGGATAAGTAATTATTCAAACAGAGACTCTATTGGTTATACATTTAAGCTAATGAAATTTTATATATTGAGAACAAACACACATTTTTGTATATTTACTATAAACTAGGAATTTGGTTCAAGTAGTTGATGTATGTCCGTCTCGAATAGTAACAGCAGTACTTTGAATGGTTGTTGTTCCTATTCCCTTTCTTTGTATAAAGGAATAAGTGATCATGGATCCTATTCCATTCAGTTGCTGACAGAGTGGTTAAACCCGGCAGTCTGTCTGCAAATTTTTTTTTTTTTTTTTTTTTTTTTTATCCAGTTCATTTGATCACTTTTGTGAGTATGCAGTGATTTTCAGTTCATTTTTGGTATCCATCTGGGAATATAAACTTATAGTTTTATGCTACTTGGTCAGAATGAAACATTTGATATAATAAATTTATGTTTCCTTCAGACCTTTGGTGTGAACATAAAATCATATTTCTAGACTATCAAAGAAATGTGAAAATTCTTAACAGAAATTCAACATCAAATGAATAAATGGCATAGTTTTTGTTCTGGTTTTGTATAAAGGTGTTCTTCCATGGCAAGAAAATATGATCACAAATGAATATTCTTTTGATCCAATTTGTGCATTAAATGAATAGGATGTGATGTGTCCATTGTAAGCTGAAGCTCACTGAAGTGTAGCTTCTGGAGCTGTATGATTTGAAAATTACTTCAAATACTTGCAGGGTACTCCTACCTAGGAAATAGATGAATCATTGTGTGACTTGTCATCAGATATAACTATCCTTTAATTCTGACATTTTCCCATTTGGCTTCCATAATTATATGTTCTATTCTTGAAATATCCATTTCATATTGTCCAAATCCACTTAAATCAAAATTTCTTGGTGAAGATGAAATTGTAAGAGTGAACAAGATCCTAATAGAGCTTCATGGTTTATCTTCAGAGTACAGTTATAAAAAAGAAACATCTCTTTCACAATTATTTTAATTTTAATTGGAATTAGCAGATATTCAATATTTAATATTACACAACAAATATGTACAACACCTATTCCAAAAGTTCACTAAGAAACCAAAAACCTTGTTTCTTCTTCTCTACAGATAGGTTGGGAACAGATGGCCTCTATGCAGACATTTTATTTTTTTTATATTGATTAAGTTATTTAATTACTTTACTCCTGACTGACTGCAGCTTCTCCTCCCTCCTCTCCGACCAGTGCCTCCCTTTCACCGTCTCCTCTCCCATCCAACTTCCCCCCTCTTCTCCTCAGAAAAGGAGAGGCCTCCCATGGATATCAACATGCCTTGGCATATCAACTTTCACTAAGACTAGGTGCATCTTCTTCTGTTGAGACTAGACAAGGCAATCCAGTTAGAGGAAAGGGACCCAAAGTCAGGCAATGTAGTCAGAGATAGACCATGCTCCCACTTTAGGAGTTCCACATGAAGACCCAGCCGCACAACTGTTACATATGTGCAGAGGGCCTAGATGTCTCCCACACATACTCTCTGGTTGGCAGTTTAGTCTCTAGAGCCCTGATGAGCCCAATACATTTGATTCTGTAAGTTTTCTTATAGTGTCCTTGACCCCTCTGTCTCTTTCAATTCTTCCTCCCTCTCTTCCACAGGATTCTCCAAGCTCCATTTAATGTATGGCTGTGGGTCTCTACAACAGTTTCCATCAGTTGCTAGGTAAAACCACTCTGATGACAGTTATGCTAGGCTCCTGTCTGCAAATATAGAAGAATATCATTAATAGTGTCAAGGGTTGACTCTAGGACTCAAGCTGGGCTAGTCATTGATTTCCCTGTTCCTCAAATTCTGCTCCATCTTTTGCCCCTGAACAACTTGTAGGCAGGACAAACTGTGGGTCTAAGATTTTACAAGTGGGTTGGTATCCCAAAGTCTCCACTGGAAGTATTGCCTGGTTACAAGAGATGGGCTGTTCAGGCTCCATATGCCCCATTGTTAGGAGCTTTAGGATCACCCTCATAGATTCTTGGGAATTTCCATTGGCCGAGGTTTCTAGATTGTCCCAGAAATGCCCCCACAAACCAATTTTCTCTCCAGTGCTTTTTTCTCCCCCTCCTTTCCCCAAGTCATCCCTCCTGTTTCCATCCCTCTCCACCTCCCTCATACAGTCTCCTCCACCCATCCATGCATGCCCACCTGGTGTCCAATCTATTTCCCTTTCTCAGTGAGGTTCAAGTGTCCCCCACTTGGGCCCTCCTTGTTACTTAGTTTCTTTGTGTCTGTGGCTTGTAACATGGTCATTCTTTTTGTTCTAGAGCTTTCAGGGGTTAAGTTGCTAGTCTTAGATCTATCCAATTTCTTTATGAAGGGATTTCCTGCTATAAACTTCTCCCTTAGCACTGCTTTTGTTGTGTCCACTGAGTTTGAGTATACTGTACGTTTATTGTCATTGAATTTCATAAAGCCTTTAGTATTTCTTTATTTCTTCTTTGACCCCATGGTCATTGAGTAGAGCGTTGTCCAGTTTCCATGAGTTTGTAGGCTTTCTGTTGTTTATGTTGTTGTTGAAGTCCAGATTTAATCCATGGTTGTCAGATAAAATACAGGGATTTGTATCGATTTTCTTGTATTAGATGAGACTTGCTTTGTAACCAACTATGTGTTCAACTTTATAGAAGGTTCTATGAGGTACTAAGGGGGAGGTATATTCTTTTGTACTTGGATAAAGTGTTCTGTAGATATTTGATAAGTCCATTTGAGTCATATCATCTGTAGTTCCATTATTTTCCTGTTTGGTTTCTGTCTAGATCACCTATCCATTGGTAAGAGTGGGGTATTGCAGTCTCCCTCTATTAATGTGTGGGTGTCAATGTGTAACTTAGGCTTTATTAATTATTTTTTACAAATATGGGTTCTTTACATTTGGAACATAAACATTCAAAATTGAGACATCATCTTCATGCATTTTTCCTTTGGTAGTATGAAGTGTCCTCCACTTCTTTTGATTAAGTTTTAGTTTGAAGTCTATTTAATTAGCTATTAGAATGTCTACTCTACCTTGATTCCATTTGCTTGGAAATTTTTTTTCCAACATTTTACTCTGAGGAAACGTCTATCTTAAATATTGAGGTATGTTATTTGTATGCAGCAGAATGATGAATTCTGTTTACACATCCATTCTGATAGTCTGTGTCTTCCTATTGAGGAATTCAGTTCATTGATGTTGAGACCAATGATTGTTAATTCCTGTTATTTTCAGGTTGCTGGTGGTAGTGTACATGCATGTAAGTGAGTGAGTGAGTGAGTGTGTGTGTGTGTGTGTGTCTGTATACTTCTCCTTTTTTCCCTTTTTTTTTGCTGCTATGAAAGTATTAATTTCCTGTGTTTTGTTGCATGTAGTTGACCTCCTTGGACGAGAGATTTTCTTCTAGGATCTTCTGTAGGGCTGGATTTGTGGGTAGATATTGTTTAAATTCGGTTTTGTCACGAAGTATCTTGTTTTCTCCATCTATGGTGATGGAACATTTTACTGGATTTAGTAGTCTAGGCTGGCAAATGTGCTCTTGGAGACTGGAAAACATCTACCCAGACCCTTCTGACTTTTAATGTCTCTATTTAGAACTTGGGTGTAAGTCTAATAGGTACACCTGTCCTTTTCACTTTGAAGCTTTTAATATTCCTTTTTTGTTTTGCACATTTAGTGTTTTAATTATTAGGTGGCTTGTTGTAGGTGACGATTAATATTTACTATTAATTATCTCTTAATAAAGCTGCTGTTAGTCCTAAACAGCTGTATATCCAAATCACCACAGAGACTGGGATTTATTAAATTAACCTAGAACACAATGCGGGGCAATAGTTTCTCCACCCTGAACCTCCAAGCCCTTATAGTTTCTACCATTCAGATTTCCCACATTTTGCTTGTTTTTAGTGATATATTAGGTCCAGTGCATCTCCATATCATTCCAACACCTCTGCTCCTCCCTTAGTCTCCCAGCTCTCCTCTGCCCTTCTCCTATCACTCTTTCCTATCCTCTGGCTCTTCCCCTCTCCCTCCTACTCCTTCCTCTCTATTGATCAACATTGTGGCTGGTTGTTTTATTTTGTCATGTTTACACAAAGTTGAGACAGGTGATGCTTAGAAAAAGTATCACAATGCAAAGTTCCAAATTGAAACCAGAGACTGGGGGAGATAAATCAGCATTCGAATGAACAAGGGCAAAGTGTATACATTTCAAAAGAACCTTATACCAACAGTGGCTGGAAGATTTTCTTTTCGGTGCAATTATTTGATGTTCTGTAAGCTTCTGGCATCTTTATAAGAATCTCTTTCTTTAGGTTAGGGGAATTTTCTTCTATGATTGTGTTGAAAATATTTCCTGGGCCTTTGAGCTGGGAATATTCTCCTTCTTCTATTCCTATTATTCCTAGGTTTGGTCTTTTTGTAGTGTCTCGAATTTTCTGGATGTTTTGTGTCAGAAAATTTTAGATTTAATTTTTTTGACTGGTGTATTCATTTCTTCTGTTGTATCTTCTACACCTGATATTCAGATATTCACTTTTCAATCTCTTGTATTCTGTTGGTGATGCTTATGTCTGTAGTTTCTCTTCTCTTACCTAGACGTTTCATCTCTGATTCCCTCAGTTTGTATTTTCTCTATCAATTCCATTTCCATTTTAGGGTCTTGAACAGTTTTATTCATTTTCTTCAGCTGTTTGGTTGTATTTTCCAGTATTTCTTTTTTTTTCTTTTTGTTTTCTATTTTTTTAAATATTAGTTACAGTTTATTAACTTTGTATCCCAGCTGTATACCACTGCCTCATTCCCTCCCAATCCCACCATCACTCACTCATCTCCTCCCTGCCCCTTTCCAAGTCCACTGGTAAGAGAGGACCTCCTTCCCTTTCATCTGACCCTGGTTTATCAGGTACCTTCAGGACTGGCTGCAAAGTCCTCCTCTGTGGCATAGTAGGGCTGCTCCTCCCTTGGGGGAGGGGAGTCAAAGAGCCAGCCACTGAGTTCATGTCAGAAATAGTCCCTGTTCCCCTTCCTATGGGAAACCAATTGGTTACTGAGCTACCACAGGCTTCATCCAAGCAGAGGTTCTAGGTTATATCCATCCATGGTCCTTGGTGGGGTGTCAGTCTCAGAAAAGACCCCTGTGCCCAGATATATCTGGTCCTTGTGGAGCTCCTATCCTTTCCATGTCATACTAACTCTCCCTTCTTTCATATAGTTGCCTGCACTCTGCCAAAGGTTTGGTTATGTGTCTTAGTATCTGCTTTGTTACACTGCTTAGGTAGAGTCTTTCAGGGGCCTTCTGCGGTAGGCTCCTGTCCTGTTACTTGTTTTCTCCTATGTCCAATGCACCTTCCATTTGTTTTTCTAAGTGAGGATTGATCATTTTAGCCCGGGTCCTCTTTCTTATCTTCTTATGTGTATAGATTTCATTATGTTTATCACACCTTATAGGTCTATGTAAGTAAGTATATACCATGTGTGTCTTTCTCCTTCTGGGATACCCCACTCAGAATGATCTTCTCTAGATCCCATCATTTGCCTGCAAATTTCATGATTTCATGTTTTTAATTGCTTAGTAGTATTCTATTGGCTAAAATAAAAAACATAAATGACAACACACGCTGGAGAAGTTGTGGAGAAAGGGGAACCTTCCTCCATTGCTGGTGGGAATGTAAACTGGTACAACCACTTTGGAAATCAATCTGGCACTTTCTCAGACAATTAGGAATAGGGCTTCCTCAAGATCCAGCTATACCACTCCTTGGCATATATCCAAAATTTGCTCATGTACACAATAAGGACATTTGCTCAACCATGTTTGTAGCAGCTTTATTTTTAATAGCCAGAACCTGGAAATAATCCAGATGTCCATCAAAGGAGGAATGTATACAGAAATTGTGGTAGATTTACACAATGGAATACTACTCAGTAATTCCTGTATTTCTTATAAGGGTTAATTAAATTCCTCTTTAAAGGTCTCTATCATATATAATATGATATATTATATATGATATAATATATATATATATATATAAAGATGATGGAAGATGATATATATATATATATCATCTTCCATCATCTTAATCATCCAATCTTCATCTTGGATTTAAGCTAATCTTCTTGTTTTAGCTGTGTTAGGATATCCAGGACTTACTGTACTAAAATAGCTTGGCTCTGGTGGTGTCATCTTGCCTGTTTCTTTTTGATTGTGTCGTTATTCTGGCCTTTAGCCACCTGGTTGTCCCTGGTGCTGGCTGTCCTCTGGAAATGCAGGCAGATTTGTGGGCTGGAAAGTAGAACACAGGAGAGATGGTGCAGTTTACTGCTGTTGAGTGTGCTTCAGGGGAATTGGCTGGCAGGGGAATCCGGTGGGAAGTGTTTTACCCATTTTTTCCTGCTTGCAGTCAAGCCTTCAGAAATTCAGGCGGAGTTGTGGGCAGAGTTTTTAATGCAGTATTGCTGCTTTTGTATATTTAAGTATTATCATTTTTATTCATTATAATGTATTTTAAGTGTTCAGGCAGATGTTGAAGCATGTACCAGATTGGAAAACCTACCAAACCCAGCAATCCCTGAGCTTTAAAACCCACCAATCCCTGAGCCTGAAAACCCACCAATCCCTGATTGGTTAAAAATCCCACCAAAACCCACCTTGGAAATTCTACATTGGAAAACTAGCCAGCCAATAAAAAGCCTGCCTTCTGCTCAGTTCCCTAATGCTGCTTACAAAAGCACAAGCAGACCCTTCTTGTGTTTCTTCTAATAAATCTCTTTTGTGAGGATTGTTTTGCAGGGTAATTTTGTAGTATTCCTTGGGTCCCTAACTCCAGGATACCTTTATCTTTGAGCTGGAACCACGCACTGGGGAAGCCTTTCCCCTCAGAACTGTTAGACTTCCAATAACTTCACACATTCATGGCCTATACCAAACCAGCATCACCTGTTTATAAAAACAAACAAACACACAACAACAAATGTTTCCAGAAAAATAAATGGATCTCCATGTTAAGCAAAATAAACCAAATTCAGAAATAAAAATACAACATTTTCGCTCATATGTGGAATCTAGATTAAGTGTGTGTGTGTGTGTGTGTGTGTGTGTGTGTGTGTGCGTGTGCCTTGAAAGTGGAAATGAAAAAACAATACAATTCTGATATTTTGCCTGATCAGTAATTCTTCATTTGAACAAAGTCAAGATCTATGTGGCTTACACTGGGAAAACTTCCTGTGTGGTGAAAGAATAAAGAATGACACAGAAAATCTGGGGACAGGTGGGCTGTGTACTCTGACAAAGCCACACCTACATGACAAGGAACCTCAGTGTGTTTGTTATGTACAGCACAGTGGGAGGTGTTATCCCTGTAGGAGTTCTTTGTAAGTGCAAGTAAGTCTCTGGTTGAAAACATGAAGTTGAGGAAGTGGTAGTTGCTAGTTTTTGTACACACTGATCGCTTGTCTGTAAACACTTTCAATTGACCGGAGAAGAACGTTTTGTCAGTTTTGAGCCACATGGGGAAAAGTTTTGCCTAGTTCCCCTGGGGAATCCTTTTCAAGTCTAGGATCTTACGCACAATACACTTTCACTCAGGAATTTACTGACTGACGTGGGCCTAATTCAGTCTTCACAGAACAGCAAAACAGTAAACATCATTATTAGACTTTCAAGCCTGTGATGTATGTTTGCATGCACACATATATGCATGCATATTAACACACATATATTTAGGATTCAGGACAGAGTGCTATGAAGTAAAATGTGTATGTCATGATCAACAGGAAATGCTGTGGAGAAAGATTATTATAGTTTCAACAATGTGTAATTTAATAATAAGAATAAAACTTCTTTAATTAACTGAATGTACTGATTTTAGAAAATACCACTAAAGATGGACTATCATGTACTTCATTTTATGCAGCAGATTTATATAAATGAAATTATACATTTTTATAATTATATTATAGAACTAGAGAAAACAGTGTCTTATTTTTCAGTTACTACATTGGCACAATGATAAAAGCCCTCATAGGGAATGCAGGATAGATCAAGGCAGACTGCCATCCATGCTTTCTTCAGATCAATGCTCTATCTAGTCTCAACAGGCAATCAAAATAATTGTCAACTACTAAGAAAACTCGGGAAAAGCTTAATTGCTATAAAATAATGGAGAGTATATCTCAACTTTCACTTGTCAGCCAATTTGAACATTTGTAGGATTCTTGGTCTGGACACAGAATTTAACCAAATTGTGTCAAAAGTTCTTCAGTTTTCACACAAGGGAGGGAAAAACATCAGGGTGCATTCTTAACACCCCCAGCTTAGATCAGCATTGGTTCTTTAGAGCGTTGTGTCTGGGATGCCAAAATGAAACCCCACTTTAATTAATAACCCAAGAACTTTCACATGACCTTCAAACAACACATATAGTGGGTTTTAACCTTATTCATGAGGGAAGTGAATGTTAGCTCCAGGCTCACTCCCCCACTGTTACAGCTTACACAAAAGATTCCTCTTTAAAAGAAGGTGTTTTGTTTGAGCTGGAAATTAAAAGCTCAAAATCTCAAGGTCAGTCAACCTGCTGTTATTAAACTTATGCGAAGCTAAATCATCCTTTGTGGATTTGGGGTAATAATAAACAGCAATAAAGCTTAGAAAATTTGCATCAGGAAGACAAATTGAATTTGATGAAGTAAAGCCAATATGACTGTGACCTTTAGAACAAAGAGAATCTAGTTGCCTATCTAAAAACTGTAATTCAGCTAAAATTAAATAAAGTCTGCTGTAAATCATTCACTGTGCTGTGAGTTTCTATGTCAGCTGCTGCTGTTTAATCACTGAGCCAATTATGTATTTTGTGGAACAACATTGAAATTTAATACTGTATAAAAATATCAGGGTTGAAAGAAAGTAGATATTTTGGTACTTACCACTGTTTAAATTAATGTATTAGAAAAGTCTTGATGGCTGATGGTGGGATTTCTGTGGTACCTTGGGAGATGTTACCTGATAGTAGGTTTTCTTCTTTTTTTTCATTTTTACTTTTTTTTTTAATATTAATTGCAGTTTACTCATTTTGAATCCCAACTGTAGTGAGGCTAAATGGCCTATTTAGTGGTCTTGGCTTTGCTGGCTTCACTGATGTACCTTGGTTCAGAAAGATAAGTGTTTGGATACGACATATCAGAAAGCGATTGACATATGGAAGTACCAAATCTAAGGAATGCTCTCTACATGGTGGCCACTGATGATAACAAAATACGCTCTTATTTCTCATGTCCTAGTTGGATGTATTGGACAGACTGGGAGGAAGATAAAATAGATGACAGCGTGGGAAGGATTGAGAAAGCTTGGATGGACGGCTTCAATCGGCAGATTTTTGTGACTTCAAAGATGCTGTGGCCAAATGGCTTAACGCTGGACTTTCACACCAGCACATTATACTGGTGTGATGCCTACTATGATCATATTGAAAAAGTGTTTTTGAATGGAACTCACAGAAAGGTAAAAGACAAGTACGGCTGTTTTTTTCTAACCCGCGGGCTTCTTCCATAGAGCCTTGTTTGTGCTATGTTAAAAATACTTTGAAGTTTATTTTTACCCCTCTGAGGTGGCTGTCAACAGTCTCCATGGGGTGGCTGAAGTAGATGAGCAGTAAGCTGTGCAGCTGGCACTCGCCTCCGGGAGGCCATGCCCAGCTCATGCCGTGTGCCAGGATTTGTGGGGTTTTAAAAGAATCCCCCCTGTTAGCAGAGCTGTTTTTACAATGCAGCCTTTCTGCATTATTGATGGATTTTCTGTGACCAAACAACCCCTCTCTATTTAAATATGTTCAATATTTGCAGCTGAAATTTAAACACAGTAATTATACTGCACTCATTTGAGTAAAGAATTTTGTGGTACTGGAACTGAGATGCATCCTAGGAATGGACTGAATTTCATGATAGTTGGTGCAAATAAATATGATCTTCCTCTGGCTTCTTTTGCTGAAATCATTGTACAACGTCCTGGCATTCCTGGGGCTAATGCTGACAGTTGCGTAGTTGAGGGTAAGATGCAGGCCTAGCCAAAAAAACCACCACCTTGATGCTTCATCTTCAGACACTAAAGCTAGAGCCCCATGGTGTGACTTCAGCTATGAGGTAAAGGTGAAGAAAGGGTGAGACATTTCTGAAATGCGTCCCTTGATCTTAGATCCTTTCTGGATCTCAGTCCTGAATGGTGGGCTCATCCTACTCATTAGGGAGTGTTTTTGAGAAATAAATAGTACTTTAATCAGTTCAGACATTGGTTATCACAAGTGATACTCTACTTATTATCCAGAATGAACAAATCTGATGGACTCGCACCATGATGTCGTGTATTTCATATCTGCTAGCTAAATATCTGCGCATCCTTTAAAGATGTTAGTAAAAAACAATAATATGTATTAATACATTTAAAATATGTGTGTGTTTATATACACACAATGTGTGTAGTTTCATGGTCATCATATTTTAGACTCTGGTGCATCTCAATCTTTTAATATATCAGTATTTAAATGGAGGATTCTATTAAAAGACACACTGTTTCAATTTTTATTCCTAAATTACATAGATTTGTTCCTTAAATCTTGAATGTTGATTAAGATGAAAAATTTGCTTTCACATAGCATGCAGTATGGTTTATATATGTGATGAGAGGTAAGAAGTGAGACCACATTGGAAGTTTAGGACATTTTCTGTCTCTCATCTCAGGATGACTTCATTGTTCTTCTGACTCCTCCACTGGAACCACAGACAGAGGGGAACTGAATAGTAATACAACAACCTAATCAAGATTAAACTTCATTAGCAAAATTTATCTATATAGAATTTTAAATATTTCCCCTTTCTTGTAACTTCCTAGATTTCTTCATTTATCCTTGGCCCAATTGACCTGGAAAAGTCTTTTTTATTCACAGTCATTCAAACATTTTACTTCACTTGATTATTAAATGAACAACATGTGTGTATGTGTGCATGAGTGTGAGTATTTATATGTATGTGTCTTTATAGTAATTATTCAGATTAACTTTCATCCATGAGAATAATAAATATTACACAGAATAGAAAAATAAAGTTGAACAATATCATTTTAACATTTGTGGTTTTTTGATCATATCAGCAATGGCATTTATAAGAAATATTTGAACAAATGAAGTATTGACTGACTCTCTCAAATAGCATTCCAAAATCTAGAAACATAAGCTCACATTGTAAAAATCATTTTCTGTAAAACTACTCAGAAAAAAAACAAAAGTTAAGACCGTAGTTAGGTTGTTCTCTGGTATTATTATATAAAGATTATTTGTTTTAATAGTTACATTTATAAAGTTAGTCTTGATTTTGTGTAGTGTGTTTATGTTTATTTCATATTTTACAGATTGTTTACAGTGGGAAAGAATTGAATCATCCATTTGGACTGTCACATCATGGAAATTATGTGTTCTGGACAGATTACATGAACGGTTCCATTTTTCAACTAGATTTGATGACCAGTGAGGTGACATTGCTGAGGCATGAAAGAGCACCCCTGTTTGGGCTTCAGATTTATGATCCACGAAAGCAACAAGGTATTAAAGACCCAAAACAAATTTTCAACATTACACAATGTTAATGGTTTTATGATAAACATTGCCAGCACACTGTACTGTCATTCAAATCTTAGAACTTAGAGTTATAGTTCTCATTTTAAAACAGCCTGAGTGAAAAATTCAGGGGTGCTGTTCAAGATAAATGGAGGTGTTCCCAAACGTTTTTTTTTTTTCATATCAAATTTTCTGAAAAAATTTTATTTGTTATTAGAAAAGAAAAGTTATCAAAGAATAATATTGGGTGCAATGAGAAAAACTTTTTACCCTGAAAGGAGGACTTGCATAATTGAAAAAATGAATAACCATAGAGACTTTATTGACAAATCTACTGTATTATCTGATTAGGCTCTACATGCATTAAAGAATGTGTAATGATGAAGTGGAACTACCTACCACAATAGTCATGTCTTATTAAAATCAGATAGCATTGTTGTTTTCATCCTCGTGGGTTATTAATATTTATTATGCCACCACAATTATTATGACTTAGCTATTAAGTACTGAAAACAACATAGTAAGCTATGTGGTAGATGTTTTATGAGTTAAATACTTGCGAGTCCTTCTTAATGTCGATATCCTAATAAATATTTAATGAGCATACATACCAATAAATGTAGAATGAATAAAGTGAATCCTTAATTTTCTGATACGTATCTTGTTAGTAAGGATTTGTCTAGCAATAAGGTTTTGGAAGGTGTTTGCTCTTTTTTATTTTTGAATTAATTAATGTTTTTATAAATTACAGTTTATTCACTTTGTATTCCAGCTGTAGGCCCCTCCCAGCCCCACCTTCCCTCCCTCATCCCTTCCCATGCCCCTCCCCAAGTCTACTGATAGTTGAGATCCTCCTCCTCTTCCCTCTGACCCTAGCCTATTAGGTGTCATCAAGACTGGCTGCATTGTCTTCCTCTGTGGCCTGGTAAGGCTGCTACCAATCAGGGGGAGGTGATCAAAGAGCCAGCCACTGAATTTGTGTCAGAGACAGTCCCTGTTCCCATTACTAGGGAATTCACTTGGATACTGAGCTGCCATGTGGCTACATCTGTGCAGGAGTTCTAAGTTATCTGTATTCATGGTCCTTGGTTGGAGTATCAATCTCAGAAAAGACCCCTGTGCCCAGATTTTTTGGTTTTACTCAGCAAGCAAATGGTGGGAACTAGAAAAGATCATCATGAGTGAGGTCTCCCAGAAGCAGAAAGACACACATGGCATATACTCACTTATAAGTAGATATTAGACATATAAGATAAACATACTAAAATCTGTACATCTAAAGAAGCTAAGCAAGAAGGAAGATCCTGGGGAAGATGATCAATCCTCACTCAGAAAGACAAATGGGATGGACATCTGAAGTGAGAGAAAACAGGGAAGAGGACAGGAGCCTACCACAGAGGGTCTCTGAAAGACTCTTCCCAAAATTGTATCAAAGCAGATGCTGTGACTCATGGCCAAACTCTGGGCAGAGTGGAGGGAATCTTAGGAAAAAGGGGGAGTTAGTAAGATCTGGACAGAACAGGAGCTCCACAAGGTTATTTGCTCTTAAACAGAGCATCTGATGCTAGAGCCACAAATTTCATTATAACATTTAAATATGGGCTTTATTAAAATTTCTATATCCACAGACAAATGAAGTGCAAGAAATGTTAAATAATAATGGCTAATTATTCATTAAATTATCTTTTAAAAAGAGTGATAGTGATATTATCTAGATGTTTATATAGAGAAGAAATGAAGAATAGAAAAAAAATGCCTGACAGGGTAACTCTCTCATAAAATTCATTCCATTTTCACGACTTTGCTGGCATGCATTTGATTTGTCTACTTATACCAAAAGTGCTACTTTTTCCCTCCTTTCCCTATTCTCTTCTCCTCCCTCTTCCCTTCTCAAGACTGAACACTGGCCTTTTTTCTTACTAGGCCAGAGCTCTACCCTTATGCCCCTTGCCTTTTCCTTCTCTTTGGAAACTATTGCTCTTAATTGTCATTTCTAAGTTCCCTTTAGCCAGAATTCATTTTTAAAATCCTCATAAACTTTAATCTTCTCGTTGTTTTGGGAAGTTGGTTATTAAATTTAAACTGTTGTGGAAAAATATCTTGTCACACTATAAAAGTGACGGCTTAAATTGACCATTGATCATTTTCAAACTTTGGAACCATGAAGTATTCAATGTTGTTTGCAAGTATATCCTTTACCAAAAAATGTGAGGATAAAATAATTATTTGTAGCATTAAAAATAAATCTCTAGGGTCAGAGGGAAGGGGAGGAGGACTTCCCCTATCAGTGGACTTGGGGAGGGGCATGGGAGGAGATGAGGGACGAAGGGTGGGATTGGGAGGGGATGAGGAGTCTACAGCTGGGATACAAAGTGAGTAAACTGTAAATTAAAAAATAAATAAATAAATTTAATAAAAAGTAACTAAATCTCACAACACCTAGAGCTGATTCACTACTTCTTCCTATATCATCTCTATCAGGAAAATGATTATTTTAAATTGTCACATACATGCAAATATTCGACGTAATGATTTATCAAAGTCATGTTCAACAAACTGTATAACTTAGGCCAAGGAAGGTATCTGGTGTTCAGAAAATACTATTAGTAGATAATTAATCACTTCTACCACTACATAAAGAATTGTGTTTTTCTTTCACCCATGCAATTCAAGAGATCTTAATTACTGAGCACATCATGAACACTGATTTAGAAATGATTGTGTTTGGTTTTACTTAGAAAATGTATGTAGCCAAACTGATTGATTATTTTCATCAACTTAAGACCAGTCAATTAGTTTCAGTTTTCTACCTAATCTTTCCACATCTAATGATTGTCCATAACTATACTAATCTTTGAACACAGAGTGCAGTATGAAAAGAATTCCTATTTAGTATAGTTTGGACTCAAATCAATATTCATTGATTTTAGATAATCTGCAGGAAAATATACATTGTTTTCCATTGTTAATTGTATTGATCAATACAGTATAATTACAAAGTAAAAAGAGTTTTAGATACAGATCACTTATCCTAAGATGGTATAATTTTCTTCTAGTTGTCTTTTTTTCTTTTCAATAGTTGAATATAAGATTATATTAAATTTAAAAAAACGTAATTAGTGATTGTGATATTTAGTTATGTATTGTCCCAATAACCGTTTTATTAAAACTTTAAAAATTATTTTATTTTATGGGCACGGATGTTTTTCCTGCCTGGGTGTTTGTGCACTGTTTGTACATGGTGCCTGAGGAGAGCACAAAAGCGTGTTAGATATCCGGGAACTGGAGTTACAGTTGATTGTGTAAACTGTCATGTGGGTGCAGGGGATCAAAGCTGGGTCTTCTGAAAAGCAGCTTATGGCCTTAACTGCAGATCAATCTGCTCAGCCTCTTATTAGCTTTTATACAAAGGGTAAAATACAGCAACTGAGTAGGCATTTGAATTTGTTCTCAGACTTAAAAAAATATATTAAATTGTTCTCACCCATGTGTGTCAACATCTGTGTCTGGATTCTTGCTTTTTCTTTTTCTCTTTTTAACAATCTAAGAATATGGGTTAAAGGTTTTGTTTTATACATGTGCACTTGTGTGTTTGTGTATGATATGTGTATGAGCAGGTGTGCTCACTCATACCTGAGCTTGTGGAGACTAATGGTAGATGTCTGGAAGTATTCCCTCCTTGCTCTCTACCTTAATTTTTGAGATAGTCTCTCACTGACTCTGTTCGTCTCCAGTTCTTATTACTAGATTCGGTACTAGGATAGTCCACAGCATCCTTGTTCCTCTTTGCTTTTCTCTTAGTGCTTCAATAACAAGCCACCAAGACTAGCTTTTATGTGGTTCCAGGGGATTCAAGCTTTGAATCATATCCCTGATTCTTTCATTAGTGTTCTTAATTATACTACATTGCTGGGCTATCCTTGAACTTGAAGTCACCTAGCTTAAGCCTGTGATTAAAAGCATGAATCATAACATCTGGCTGGACTGTGGGTTTTATTTCTTATTTTTAATAGTGGTTATTGTTGTTTTGTTTGTTTGATTACTGTTATTGTTGTTTATTTTATGGTAGGATCTCTTGTAACACAGGTTGATCTTAAACCCACTGGTTAGATGAGATTGACATTTTAAGATGCTGTTTTGTTTTTTTTTTAAAGTTTCAACAAGTTTATTTGAGTATCAATGAGCTCACACACTCATCACATAAGATGCTGTTTTAAGATTAACACTTAATCTTCCTGCCTATACCTGAAAAGTGCAACACTAAGTTTGGGTGGAACAGCCCCCCTTTTTTTTAACTGTAGTTATAGCAACAGTAAGTTTTTTTTATTATTAATATTGCTTTAACGTAAAGTTCTACTTGATTCCCTGTGTAGATTTTAAAAATTAAAGACTTGAATTCTTATCTCCAGCATTTCAGGATATCAGTGTTTAACTGATGTGTAGAAGCGTGTGCAAGTCACACTGTTTACTGGATTTAGCAAGTTTGAAGTTTGTAACATGGTCATAATTGCATTTATCTCCTCCCAAATTCCCCATAGTTAAGATAACTATCATAGAAAAGATCATAATTTAATCAATTCCTATTATTTTATTTTTCTTTTTACCTTAGTTTTTAGTACCATTACACACACACACACACACACACACACACAGAGAGAGAGAGAGAGAGAGAGAACCACAAAGTAGCCACAAATAAAGCTAAATATAAAAATAATATAATGAAAAATTAATAAAATTTGTGGATCATTTTATCCTTTCTTCAGACTGTCTGTTTAGTCACCTTCTCAAAATGGTCATACCCCAGCAACTCAGAAGGTTCTTATCTGACATTGGGAATAATCCCAATGACCAGGATATTTTCTAACTCATAAGCTTGAATAGCACCCTACCACATACAGAAAAATCCAAACATGTGTCTTTTTCTGTATGTGGTATAGGCACTTGTAAAATCACATATATAACAACACTGAGCAGTGAAAAGTCCT